GGGTACGAACAAACCCTATCCCATCAACATTTCTCTGGTCGTGCAAAGCAAAACCAGGCATAGTATGGTTTGTTTGAAGAAGCTGCGTCTATCATTACTACCTTTACTTCTCTCACACTTTTAGTATATGAATCACGTACCTCTTTAGCTACCGCATGGAGGGAAAGTTGATTCAGGGGTGCAGATGTAAGTTCCGAGATATGATGTGGCTGCGAAACCAAAATATGATCATTGGACGGAGTATGAATTATGAACGGCTGCCCAGATGCCTAGCGTAGTGAGTTTGGAAGTTTTGAAGGAGTTGGAATCTAACAACCCACCTTGCTGTACTTGCGTTGAATAATTCTCGGGCCATTGGTCAAGTAGCGGAGGCGCTTTATGACACTCTTTACATAGAGGGCCTTTTTGTAATTATTATCTTATACATATACCAAAGATGATTGACTTACTAGACTGCTCCATGATCCTAACACAACAGCTAGAAGTACAAATGGTGTCAACGTGTACTTGATCATCGTACCCCTACTTGAATCTGCTTCGCTAATTGCAAGTGTAAAGTATTTAATAAATATGCCGTCTGACGCTTGAATAGAAGTGCTCGTTTAGATACCCAGAATTTGAAAATTCTTTAGAGTTTCTGGGCATGAAAACAATGTTGCACGAAGTAAAGTGAGAAATTAACCGGGAAACTCTGGCGTGGCGTTCACCATTGGAGTGCCCGTTGACCTGATTGTTCATCGAGGCTCAGAGGACTGGCCGGTACGACGACACAAATTAAGGTATAGATGCAAGTAAGCAATCTCGGTTCGGGGACCGTAGCATTCTCCCCATGTGATGAAATTTCAGCAACGTTCGATCAAGATGCCTTGTGAAAGCCTTTTGGGGGCGAATTCTACGACTGAGTGTGGGTGCTAGTATCAGCTGAAAAGAGTGATATACCTGGCTACAACCTTGATGACCTGACCGCATTATCTGCCTTCTTGGTTAAGAATAAGCCGCCTATCTAAAGCTCCGATACATAATGTAGCTGGTGAGTTTCAAGTCAGACAGAGCAGCACTCGGCCCTAACATGAATCAGCATTCAGCCCTGACGGTGTGACCGCAACAAGAATCCCACCAATCTTCCAGCATGCAGTGTGGAACATTGTTTTCATTACTTGATTATAGTGGACTAGAGGACTCGCGGCAAAGACGTTGCGGAAGCGTATCGAAACACAAAGACGTTCTCCTTTGAAGTCTTTGTGCAGCACATGATGCGAACCACGGGATGTTCGAACGAGGTCGTTGATAAAATGTATGCGCCGTAGGATCCCGCGCGGTCTCGATTTCCTAACCCCAAAGGAAAGCCGCTGGCAATACTAGTGAGAGAACTACACGTCCACCAGCTTTACCCCGGAAAGGATCTAGCGTACCTAGGCGAACGCTTCAACTCTTATTTCGATCGCTATCTGAGCCTTGAGGCGATCAAGTCAGAGCGTTCATACGCGATACCTAATCAGGATGGCTCAGTGTCTGTCCCACTTAAGGTCTGGGTCTCGGATTTCCTCATACGAGGCGGCCAGAGAGCCTATTTTGGAGACTTCCTGGAGGAAATCGATCCGAACATCTCCTGGGCATTTCTAGAGTTTGACGACCTCAGCTGGCAGATTCTGTACCAGTATCCGAAAGTGTTGAGCAAGAAAATGCACGCTGCCAAGGAACGAGTGACGGAAGCGCTACGAAAGTACTTTGAGACCCCAATCACTGAACGGTCCGGAGACGCGTGGTTCACCAAGGCGATGGAGAATGAGATGCGAGACCTCGATCTCGACACCAGAGATATCTCCATCATGATGCAGACCATATACTGGGGCATCAACACGAACACAAGACGCGGATGCTTCTGGATGTTGACTTACATGCTCTTCCATCCCGAAGTGATTCCTCTTGTTATGCAAGAGACGGAAAAGGCCTCTACAGAGGGTAACACGACGCCTGATATCGACTACTTGAACGATCAATGTCCTTGGACCAACAGTGTCTGGAACGAAACGTTGCGCATGTCAGCGGCTTCTTCCTCGGTTCGGTACATCACCGCAGATACCGTCGTGGGAGGGCTCAAGCTCAAACAAAGTGATTGTGCCTTATCGGCAGCTCCATTTCGACGAGAAGATCTTTGGCGATCGTGTCACTGAGTTTGACCCAAAGAGGTTCTACGATAATCCAGCGTTGCTGAAAAGTCCGAGCTGGAGGCCCTTTGGAGGAGGAGCAACTATGTGTCCAGGCAGGTTTGTGGTTAAGCAAGCGGTGGTCAATTTCATTGCGATGGCTTTGAATAGATTTGACATCTCTATCGATGGGCCGCAGCCAATGCCGACAGCAAAAGAAGGCAATCCGGTAATTGGTTTAATGAGTAACCAACCAGGCAGCGATTTAAGAGTAAGGTTGCGGTTAAGAAAGTATTAGGTTTAGCAAAATGACTTAACGAGAAACGTATCAATACAGCAAACTTGAATACTTAGCAGGCCCTGCATGTTTCAAGGGATGATATTGGCTGAGCATGGTGCCAGTCCACCAATAACGTCGATATTTTCACGGAATGATAGGAAGATGAGGCCTGGCTTCTAGAGCTGCATGAGCCCTGAAAATAAGTGTTTCAGAAATCCTTCCTTCATTCTAGAACGGCAGTAGACACGTTCATCTAAGAAGGTCCACTATTCACGTATCGAACATGCAGTGAGAACGAGCTCGAGTGATTGTGCTGCATAGCCAAATGAGCAGGAGGTCTAGTCTTCAGATCTCTCCAGCAAGCCCAATTCATTTCTTGCAAGCAGTTCGTGACCGGAAGGGCATGGCAGGCGCAGCTTGCCATATCTGACTTCCCAACGCTTCGTGATGCCATCTGCATCATGCTTGAAAATTCCATTCCGCACCTGGACCTCTTCGAGACTTGTCAGCTGGTAAACACTTACTGCAGGTTTCCCACATTGAGGCAATGTTTCAAGACGTGGTTTTTTTCTAAGATTCTGCTGGTGAACCGTCTATTGAAGTTTCACTTCACTTCAACTTCCTCCGCGGGTTTTAAATCACTATACGACTCCCTAATTTGTACTCCCAGTAATTTTGCGACTCGCTTTTCAGTCCTATTAGTATCCTCGGTCAAATAACCTCTCCACTCTTCCAGCGACTCGATATGGACTTCCTATAGGTTTGCTTTCTAAATGAGCGTACTGACGTGCTTGCGAATTACTGGCTGAGTGGTCGCTGCGTATATACGGTTGAAGCTCGCATAGCTGGTGTTGGACCCGGGTTGGCGGAATAGCGCGAAGGCGCTGATGGCAGCGGGAGTCTTATAACGTGGGCACAGGAGGGACGTAGTATTGAAAGAGAAGAAATATGAGTAATATACAAGTATGTAGCGTCATCAATCTACAAACGAAGAAGGAGCGATCAGCACGAGCGCACTAAATTGTATTCTCACGCGCAGCTCAATTCACAATGTGAGAATAAGAATACATATTTCTTTATTTTTATATAATATTCCTTAAATATTGTTAATTTACGAACAGCATTACTAGCTTTTATTGGAATTTAGATAATTTTTATTTATTAAATTTATCATTAGGAAATTATACAAAAGTAACGAGAATTATATATTCGAGTAAATTAGAATTAGTATTTAGTTTTAAAAAAGTTGTATAAAGAGCCTGATCTTTCTTATACCTCTTTCTCAATTAGTCAGTATTACCTTGAGAGATGTCTACGATGTCAAATACTAACATTAATTCATTTACTGTAGCCTGAGTAGCTGACCGCCCCGAGAACAGAGCGTACAGATGAGGCTTTGGTCGCTCCATAGATTTGCGTGCCGCATGATGCGGCTTGTGAAGAAGGAGGAAACATGGATATCGACTGTAACCAACTATATGTATTTTGCTACTTAGCCATTGTATGTGACTCAATCTATGCCACGTACTTGTTTACTTTAGGATGGCTTGTCTTCAGCTCTACAAAAGCGAGCCCGGATTGCCTACCCGCAATATCTGCTGCAACTCGACAATTCGCTAAAAATCAAGACAATCCGCAATACCTCGCTGGAATCTGGATTGAGCACTCATCATGACCTGCCTTGGCAGACATTCAATCCGGGCTATACAACTCAGACACTAGTCCGAGCAGTCTCCTACTCGGACGACTCGGACACTTGAGACACTTAGACGATGGAGGGATATATAAGAAAGCCTAGTTAGTGGAGATAGCCCTCCGTAGTTATTGCTCAATATACAATCTTGTCTTTGGAATATCATCGTCCAGCTTCTCTCTGAAATAAGGAGATTCACTTGCATCGTATATTGGTGTTATATTGTCTTATCCCGGGACCTTAGTAAACCAAGCACACAGGCTTTTCCATACGAGCTACAAACTGACCTCACGCAACCTTCTGCCTTTTCCCAATCAGTCAGGTGTCAAAAGGCCAGACGTTAACAGGAGGGCTATACGTTAAGCAGCAGGTGTTAGAGCGAGCACAGGCAGAGCTCCAAGGGCCTATTTGGTGGGAGGATAAGCAGCAGGATGAGCTCGAGGATAAGTAGATAGAGTAGCAATTTGCGGCAACTGACGCGTTTCCGCACACCATTTTGGGCTCCTACAAAACCAAAAAAAAACGCTAGTATAGGCCCTTACTTACAGCTGTACAGCCTTAACTCACCTAGCAACTATATGATAATAGAGTGTTGTGTGCGGACGCGTCACATCGATTCTGCTAGTAAAAAAAGAGGGGGCGAGGGAAAATCGCGATGCGCGCCAAGGCCACCACCGATTTATGCATACAACAGATCTGACCCCGCCCATCAAAATTTTCACCGTTCCCTCAGCTTTACCGGTAGTACGTACGCCCACCGCTACAATAGCCTTTCCTTTCTTTACTGGTTCCTCTGATCCTACCCCCTCTCTGTTTACCATCTTATCGACTCTGTATATAGATTTACTAAAATTCAAAATCTTCATCAAATAAAACAACAGGTTCGGTGGTGTAGTTGGTTATCACGTCAGTCTAACACCTCGTTAGCACACTGAAGGTCCCGGGTTCAAACCCCGGCTGAATCATTTACTTTTTGCCCTTCTCTTTGATAAGGATGGATGGACGCGCTTTTTTTGGGCTGTGTGGTGGAATGGGCGGGGGTGGTGCGGCACGAACGATGATTGGTAGGACTGCCGAACATTTATTTTTCACGAAATCTTTGAGGAACTTCACTTTCGGTGGAATTGCTCCAACTTGATGGGTAGTGATGGATATTTGATAGGTGTGTTCTTGGAAGCCATTTCCAAGCGTAGACTTAAAATTGAAACGCAAAGCCCGTTATGATGGATGGATAGGGACATACTGTAGCAAGTCCTTCTCATCATTGAATGCATTATTGCATAACTATATAGTAACGGTCATATGGCCAGAAGGTACCAGTATACTACTTAGACACTATTGATTTGCGGATGCAGAGCGATAAATCTATCAACAACTGTCGCATGCAAAGGAGCTAATATGAGATGCACATAGAAAGGCAAATGTCAGCAATTGAAAATTTGGAACAATTTTTTCTTCGAGAACTGGACATCGTTTAGAAAAGATCAATCTACATAGATTAGCCATCGAAGCTTCGGAGATTTTGAGGACACAAACTCTTCTTTATTTGTAGTCTACCCACTACAGGGTACGTCCCCATTAGAAAATGAGTAGAGCACTTTCTACATTTTCCAGCTCCGAAGAACCCTTAGTAGAGCTGCCCACCTTCCGAGCGCTACAAGAACAAACATCCTTCACATATGCTTTCCCCGTAGATCTAAGAGGCTATATAAGTGCTCTAATGAATCACTGTCCACGAAGATTGCTTGTGTTTTCTTGTAACCATGAAAGGATACGAAAATGTTCCATCGTAGTTAAAATCCAGAACAACTCGCCAATCTCACTCATCCTGTTGTTGCGTTAAGCAGACAATAAAACCCCCCAGGGATCCAAAAGCTTGCACGAGTTAGAAGCCAGAGCGATATTAAAACAAGTGCACCATATTCGGTCGGTAATACTGTGTATTTTCTTTCTCTTCATATGTCCAAAACGTACGTAAAATATACAAGGTTGAAGAATCGATCACACCAACAACTTTCCCATGACTTCCTCCTATCCTCCCCTATGCCTTCTCCGCGCTCGGCGCCAAGCCCTAATCCATATCCATACTCATCCTATACATACACACACTCTCTACCTCTCCCTCTCCATCTAGTACTTGGGGAGGTACTTGTTGGCCCTCTTGGCCATTCTAGCCTTGTTGCCAGCCCTGGCCGATCGCCTCCTCCTGGTAGCGGTGCACGGGACAACAGTAGGAGTGGGAGTCGGGGTCGGGGTGGCCACAACGCATGCCACGGGGGTAGCGGCCTTGGAGGCGACGGCAGCCGGCGCAGAAGCAACGGGAGGGGCGGCAGCGGCTGGAGCGGCATTGCACTGAGCTAAGGCAGATTATCAGTATATTGCTTCATTGAACATCATCTAACGAATCCTGTATAGACTTACTTTGCTGGGCAGAGCAAGCAGAGACGCTCAAAGTCTTGTCTCCACCGTTGGCCTTGTTCGCACATGCATTGAACTGCTGGTCACAGCTTCTCTGCAGCGCAGCGCCAATGTTCACAAAGGTGTCACCCTTGACTTGGAACGGGCGGTCCGGGTTGCCGGAGTTCTCGATGGGAGTGGGAGCGATGCCACCGAGGGCTCCAGTGAAGGTCTGCAAGTTTGCACGCTTGGTTGCCGGGGCAGCGAAAGCCAGGGCGAAGAGGGAGGCGACGATGAGAGTAGACTTCATTTTGATGGTGGTTGGTTGGTTGGTTGGTTGGATTTGGGTTGATAGAGAAAGATTGTAAAGTTTTATTTAATAGAAAGAATGTAATGAGTGACCAGACTCGTAAAGAATGTAGGGCGCCGAGGCAAAGTGAAGGACAGTTGGAAGACGAAAGATTGTTGAGCGGATGATGTTGAAGCTAGGCGGGCGCCAGCATATTTATGTAGACATTGCGACACCCGTGTTCTCTGCTGCCGAGGCAGCTATGGCGTTCGTTGCCGTCTACCCAGCCCCTTGGTAACCCTATGATTTCGCGAAGCTCCAGCTGAGACCGTTGTCAGTCGCCACTGCTGCCAAAGAAGCTCCTGGACTCCTGTAGACACCCTTGCTCCGCCCTAGCAGAGGGCCAGAACTGGTGGTCTGGCAGGGCTAAGCTTTCTAAGCTGCAATGCTTGTGTCGAATGGACGAATGAGCAAGAGAAGACGGAGACAAAAGAGGAAAGGATAACCCCTGACTGTGTCGAGGGTAGAGTTTAGGAATTGCGCGATCTCCAGATCTAACGATGCATTGATGTTTCGGGTCGACATCCGGAATCCGGGTCAAATTCTGTCTCGACCTTTGCAGCTCAGCCATGATGAAGAGATGAATCTAATTAGCTCGATTACACTCCTCGGGATCAATGATCGATGCTGCATAGCCCGTCGAAAAATACGCAAGAAGTTGCCAAGGAGGGGTTCATGCCGAAAGACTCGTCGTAGAGGAAGGTGTGTGTTCGCGAGACACCACTCGCTTGGATCGGACCCCTGTCGTCGATCAGGCACGGGGACTCATCTGAGGCAACTCGTGAAGAGGAAAGCGAAGCGCCCAAAATTCCACCAATGCGCGCACCAAAGCTACCGCTGCTCTGTTTTGTTAGCAGACCTCTGCTATCACAAAAGTTTGCTCAAACGCATAACAAAACGCCCTGAGAATCTGATAGAAGATTCAGGGTGATTCGAAGCGATGTCCTGCGAATGTCGAGCGAATCGCAATGGGTTAAACGCATTGACTGCCCTTCCCCAAGAATCAATTGTGGACTAGATGCAAGCACTGGGAAAGCTGGGAAATTGTTTGCAGGAAGGCGTGAGTTTGGTACGCCGTGTCTGAGGTATAACGCTTGAACGGCGACGGCCTCTTCTCCTCCAACTTCTTACTCTTCTTATCTCGTTCCCCTATCCTGAAAGGAGCAATATCTCTTATTTATTCCACAGTATCGGCGTTGTAGTTACTAACGGCTCTGCCGGCCACGTCTTCCAGAATAGCTTAGCTAACCGATCCATAACAGCAGGAAACATGATGGGGCTATAGATAGCTGCGTCTTCGATATACTTTCTTGCCGCCTTCTCATCCCCCAATTTACTGCACGCCTTCGCCGCCTTGAGCGACAACAGCGTCTTTGCGGAGTTGACCTTGAGTATCGCCGCTTCCGTCGTGTCCGCTTTGGATCTTACGAACCGATCGTCTCTGTTCAAGTACATTATCCCCTCCTCCGCGGCATGCAGAGCTTGCGTGTATGAATTTGTGGCGCGCTCAGGGTGACGTTTAGCAGCGAGAACGTAACCTTGCACCAGAGTGTTGTACATGTCCGCCATACGAGCAAACTGGTAACAAGCGTCCATTGAGCAGTTATGGCCTAACTCGTGCACTCTGTAGTTGTGGCAGTCCCAGAAGATATCGAAAAATCTAAGTAGCAACCTTGGAAGCCTATGAATCTGGCTGTCCGGGGTCTCGAGTTTGATGCCTTGGTTGTGTGCCTCGCGATCCTCGTTACGCATCCGGAACCAAACTCGATGCCGATATGCGTCCAACCCTAGCCCAAAGAATCCACACGAGTGCTCTGATTCATTCAAGTAGTCGCGCGCCATTGCGTGGTGGTGTTCCTCGAGTATTTGACCCTCTATCCGTAGACAGTTGAATTTGGGGAGATGCTCTGCAGAGAGAAGCCGACCGAAAGTTAGATTCGAGAATCGCGCAGTCGAGTATCGAAAAGTATTTTCTACCTTCATTCGTACGGCTGCTATCCCATATCCTACACCCGAACGAAATGTATATTTGCCAATCAAGCTGGTCGCGAAGCAAGGTAAGGCCTTCGCTGAGATGACAAAAGCTGGAGTGCCATTTTCGGTTGCCTCATCATCGATGCCGATGAGTTCTATCGTCATTGCGAATCGATGACATTGGGTAACCGTAGAAGGATTTTTCGGCACAGAAAAAATGGGTGTTTTGTTACGAGTCTGCTCGGCTAGTAACGTTTTGGAGTTGGTGGAGATGACAATCAGAAGGTTCCTCGTATAAAGTACGTCGCTACTCTCGGTATATATTTGCTTGTTGGTGTAGAGAATGTCGGTGAAGAGGAGACTCTGGGTGACGTTAAACTCGTCGACTTTGATGATATGAGGAACTAGTAGCTCGGCATAGATCTGGTCACGGATCGACACGGGAAAGTCCAGAAAGCGAAGGTAGACCATCTTAAAGAACCTGCTTGGGGTGCGATATGAAGGCGCAGTTTTCTGGATGAGCTGAAATCGAACAGGTGTGTGAGGTGGTTCAGCTCTCCATGTGTCTAGGTAAGCTCTCGCTCTTATATGGCCTAATCACTCGTCGCTAGGCACCTTCTGCACCTTTCCTCTTTTGCACTCTTTTTGCATTCCCTTTTTGCATCCAAATCTGCCTGATGCCGAAGCGGGTGTTATTGCACTTTGGGTCCTCCTACTATCGTGGTGATCCGATCGACGGAAAAGGGAAAAGGAACGTCAGCCTATCTTTCAATCCTCGGTCGAGAGTAGATGGCAATGAAACTGAGTGAATAGAATTTGAGACGGAGTTTAGCTGCGGACCTCGGGAGTATATGGTCCGTGCATACGACACGTCGCTGATTCGTTTGAGATATCATCTACGAAGGGCTAGTATTTTTAAAAAAATTACCAAGTTCTCTCTCCCGTCTATCACCGCAAAATCTGGCAGAAGTGGACTTTGCTAGGCTCAATTGGGCGGATTGGTCCTCCAACCAGTGAGTTAGAATCATGAGGCGCAGCGAGATCAATACATGCGCAGAAAGGCCCGCTTTTTACTGATTGGAGGACCAACCTACCCAATTGGGTCTAGCAAAGTTCACATCTGCCAGATTTTGCGGCAGTCCACGAACCATGGATTGCAATATTTGCTATAACAAACTAAGAAACTACCCAAGATCAGACAAAGAAGTGCCACAAATGTTGTCTAAATATCTTGCTGACCCTGCT